CCAGGAAAATCCCTACCACCGAGAGCTTCCTCTAGCTCCTCCCACAACTCCTCCTTACTGCCCTCCCCTGATGGCCCATACACGATTGACACCAAAAGCCTGAAAGAATACCCTAGAAAAAGCCACCTTGGCCCAAATTTCAGAAACCCAAATCACCACCAAACCCCTGACAACCCCTCAGCTTCACAATCAGCCCACCCAAAACTAGAAGATCCCCACAACTCCGACATAAGATCCGTATCTGTTTTTTATTCGGAAGGCCCCGACCTAATTCCTAACTACCTCTCTTCTTCAGAAATCCCTTAACCCCCTATCATTCCAAAAGACAATTCTCAACATAGTGCTGAAAGAAGAAGAAGCTGAAACAACGCAAGTTTCTTATTTCCTATTTTCTTTTCCTTTTTTCTCATTCTCTTTTCTTTTTTCTTTTTTCTTTTTTTCTAAGAAGCAAGAATCTCCTTTGTGGGTAGTTTGTAATTCCCCTCCAATTCTTGGAACATTTTCCTTGTGAACAACTCACCTCCTAACACAAACAAACCTAAGACTTTTACATCCACTACCGTATCTGCAACCTCATTTAAGTCAATAGTTTTATCAATCTGATGAGTCTCATATAAACAAGCTTCCTCCTCACCTACCTCGCTAATAATTCCATCCTCATCTGATGAAAGAACTTCATCCTAATTATTTTCAAGGTCAGACTCTTCAGCAGTCTTGTCCTGTATGCTCTCTTCCTATTATACACTTCAGGTCATGAGCTGACCTGGCCTTTACCTTTGTTTCTTCCCCCTTCCACTAACTCCTTCCCCTCCAAAAGAACAGTCATAACCAAGCTAGAGGGAGGACCTTCTTTGACTCTATCAGAGGTCGGTTCTAGAACCTGGTCTGTCCCCGCAATGGAGAGAGGAACAGCCCCCAGATCCTTTGAAACCTCACTATCAACCTTCTTCCCCTTATCAAACTCAGAAGTTAAAAAGGAATTAAAGCTACCTACCTCTAACATGAAGGGCTTGTCTTCCAAAATGCTGCGACCTAAGGCAATGCATACAACCAACTCCTTTTCTGCCCCAAAATCCAGAACAGAGTCGCCCTCCAGCTTCCCTGGTTGAGACAAAGTAAAATCAACCTTCATGCCTTCAAGACTCCTTGGTGCTTCACTTTTCTCCTCCAAAGACACCAAGCATCTTTGGTTCTCTTGGACAGAGTCTTGTCCCTTCTCAGAACAATCACCATTAGCATGGGTATATCTCATAACAAAGCACCTGTAATCTCCTTTTTTCCAAAAACACTCATGGTCTTCCCCTGGATGTGTCTCTTTCCTTTGACAGCCACTGAAGCTTCTGTTCCTTCGTTCAAAACACTGTTATTATTATTGTTCAGAACAGGATTTGATATGGACCATTGCTAGATCAGGTTGACCCATGGTTTACTTGGACCAGCCCCACTTAACCCGAAATTTAAAGTTTTCTCTCTTTTCGATCTGGTCTCTAGAGTTTTTTAAATTTACAAAATGAGCCACAAAGGTCCCCGACCTTTCACCTTTGACTACACCCTTGCTCTGCAACTCTCACAACGCAGAGCAAACTACCAACAGTTTTTCCAAACTATTTCCCTTTAGCGCCTCTCTTGCTGCCTTCTAGTCTTTCAGACGGAAAAGTGGATCTTCCCCTGCTATTGAGCTCACATCCTCTGTCTCAACTAAGATTCTTGCAAACTGAATATTCTCCCACCTCCTATTTCTAAAATCGAAACTTCTAAAGTTTCCAACAGCATTTCCGATTGCCCTGAAAACTTCTGTGCCCCATGCATGTAAAGTATCGCTTGGAAATTTTCAGTACTTTTATTCACTGAAGTAGACAAAAAGTTTTAAACAAGAAAGTTATATAGACAGAAAAATGCATGAAGGTTTGGGTTTTTTATCAGTAATGGATATATTTCATTGAAAAAAAAAAAAAAGAAAACAATCTGCTCAAAAAACAAGCAGAGGCCAAAAACGGGTACATCAGAACACCATACCAGGTGTCTACACCTGAAGAGAAAAAAAAGGAAAAAATAACTTTACACAAGCAGTTTAGCACCCATTCCTGGGCATCCCAATTCAAAACCTTCCCTACCCACCCCTGCTCCTTGGTACCCAAGTGAATGAGGCATTCAAAGTGGCATCTAGTGAGAAAGATTGTCTCACCAGAGTTCTAAACTCCCATGGTATCTTAACATTTGTCCTCATCCAACTTAAAACTGTTCGACAATTACCTTCCACTTGCACATTCCTCAGTCCTGCCTCACCAACAGCTTCAAACCATGAATCAAGGCTAGCAGTTCTGCCCTCAGAGAGTTCCCATTGCCAACTGGCCCAGAATAACTCAGGATTATATTCCCCCCATGATCCCTTACAACTCCACCCACTATGGAAGCCCCTGAATTTCCAAGACAGCTCCCATCAAAGTTTAATCTAATCATCCCTTCTACATGAGGGGCCCATTCAGTCAATCCCTGTTGTTTTCTCACTTGAAAGGCAGCCTCTACTACTTGACATCCTCTCAATAGACAGTTTAGACAAACACCTCTACAATGTTCACATACCACAGCCCAGTGAGCAGCCTTAATCTTAATCAGTTCAAATGTTTCCTCTATAGATTTTCTTCAAAAATCCTTGCATTTCTTTCACACCACAACCCCCATAACACTGCCCTACGCAATCATTACCACAACCCCCATCAAACAAAGGAAATGTCTTCTATGCAGGATCTCTCCTACACTGCTCATCATATTCCCAACTTTCTACAGATTTCCTCATAAAATGTTCGCCCTAAAAAGAACAACCCATGGCTTCTATGCAGGATCTCTCCTACACTTCTCGTCATATTCACAACTTCCTACCAGACAACCTAGTCCAGTGGCAAAGATATCTCAATTTGGCAAACTTTGCCAAATCAGGCTGCTTCTTTGGACAATTGTCCTCTTTCCTGACTTCCTCTCTACATCTTCTACATCACCAATAGCATCAGACACCATATCCTGCTCCCCAACTCTTCCTTGGGCAGTAGGACCTTTTACCCCTCTGACCAAAACTCAGTTGGAAAAAAAATTCCCAGGACAACAACAGAAAAATCTGAAACACTACCAATACAACCCACCATCCCAACAGATGGAAAAGACATCAAGTCATCAATTCATGCTTATTACACTATAAGAAATAGCCTCCAACCCACTCAAAGCACTATTGTCACCAGAACCCCATTCCCATCTCCCATCCCAGCCTCATAGAATCATAGTTCAAATCATGTATAACCAAACAGTTCTTGCCAATACAGACAGACTGCAGCTCCCAATAAGTGGTGACATATTCGAGGAAGGCCCCAACTTAGAACACATGATGGGATGCAATTGCCATAAGATACGGATAAATTCAATTCATTACTATGTGCATAATTGCAAGAAGGAACACAGAGAAAGACACAAGTTAGTAATTACCACCTCTCAGCCACTGCCAACAGCAGCATCACCATCATTGGGGCACTCTCCTCACATGCCATCATCAATAAGGAACCCAGCGTTTTATGTGCTAACCTGCTCAAGGCAAACGTGACTCTTACCTTTTCTATGACTACAAGTCTTCAACCCACCAGATTCAAAATTCCTTTGATACCCCTTAAAATGGAAGAACTCTCACTTAAATTCCCTTGGATCCAGGGTCCAATAATGGCCTTATCCTTATGCTGTCTACTGCATGTTCCTTGTAGGATGAGTGTTGAGAAATGAGAATTATATAAAAAGTGCATGTAAGATAAGAGCCCAATAATGAAACTTGGGCTTCAAGTTTTCTTTCTAGTCACATTTACAGTAGCAAGGTTAACTTAGTTCTTTACCTAATGAAGAGAGACAAATAACTATATGGCAAATTGACAGCACCAAAACCAGAGAGCACAGCCATGACAGTTACACCTATCACTCCAATCCTGCTGACCAACTGAGGCATGGTGAAGAAACCTGGAAACAAAAAATTGATGAAAACCGATTTCGTTAACTAAAAGTTTATGTCAAAAGAATGGAAACATAAATGTTTCCTTGTTTTACTTAGAAGTTAGAAATAAGGCACAGGGAAAGGGTGAAACATGGGAGATCAAATAAAAACTAAACAGCCCAAACATCTCTTTGTTTCTTGAAAAGAATAAAACCAAGTAAAGCAATACAAGTAGAGCAGTACCTTTATCAGGGGAAGGCATTGGAAAGTGAATCCCCATGCGCCAAAAAGCATATAGAAATGCCAATAAGAATAGGATTGCCCCCAGTGCAGCTCGTTCCTTCCTCAAACCTAAGATGAGATAATGAAGTTCCGGTTTTAAAGATTAAAACACATTTGAAGGAGTTTCCTAGACAATTTATATGATAGAAATCAATATAACAAAGCATCCTCATTGTGGGCATTTCAAATTATTCTCTAGTATTTCTAAAAGATTTACATGAAAACATTTTCCAAGATAAACTACCTACCTTTTATTTCTAAAATTATTATCTAGTATTTCTAATGGGCTGGCTGATGGATTGACAAATCAAGAGGAAGAGAGAAGGAACCTATTTTAAGGGCATGGTAGTACCCATTGATGTCCATATTCTATGATCAGGTTATCTCAACCTCTGGGATACCTGTCCTTTGTATTTCATGATTTTTCCTTTTTTTTTTTTTGATAGATAACAGAAATAATTTCATCAAATAAAAACGCCTAACTGGCAACTGCTCATACAAAGAACAGACGGCATACAAAGTACATTGTGAGGACAACCAAAGACTACAAAAGCTTTACAAATTACAGCGCAGCCCTGGGCAACCCCAATCTAACACCTCTTCCCCCACCACAGCTATTGCTAAAGAGTCCACTGTCATATTTGCACTTCTAGGAACCCAATTGAATAAGGCATTCAAAAAGTCCCTATTGCAACTGCCACCCTCTGCTAACTGCTTAAACTCCCACGGTAAATGATCTTGTGCTCATCCAAAAAATCACAGTTTGACAGTCCCCCTCACTATCACATCCCTTAACCCCTGCCACTGCATCAGTTCTAAACTTTGAATTAAAGCTAACAGTTCTGCCCTTAATGAATTACCCAGGCCTGCTGGACCTGAAAAGCAGAGGATAATACTGCCACACTGATCTCCTACAACACCCCCCACACCAGAAGGCCCTGGGTTCCCAAGGCAACACCCATCAAAGCTGAACTTAATCAAACCTGCTTCAGGAGGAGACCAATCCAGCAATCTTTGCTCTTTGCTGTTTGCTATCCTGAAACCCAGCCACTGTTTGCCAACCCCTTAACAAATCACTGACAGACACTCCCCTAAATTCGTCAGTCCCTAGTGCCCAATGTGACACTCCTATCATTGTAATCTCTAGCATCTCTTCAACCGGCATAAATTTCTCCTCAAGAAGTCTTGCATTCCTTTCACACCACAACCCCACAGAACTGCTACCCTCATACATTGTATTTCAGGATTTTTCTTTAATAAGGTTTTGTTATGTGACTCATTGAAAAACAAAGATATTGGTTACACATGTAAAATTTCCAAATCCTCTTAAGTTCAAAAACACAATAGTATGAAATTACATTTTTTTCAGAATAGTTTGATCCTTTCATTCATTTATTTATTATCTATTTGTTTATTAATTTATGTTGATTGGCAACTGGCAAGTCAGTGCTACAATACAATGAACCCTCATAAAACTCCCTTTTGCTAGGCTGTCAGAAACCAAAGTAGTGGATATTGACATCCATCAGAATGAGGGATTCAATCTAAAGGTGAAGGACAAAACACCTCTTAACCACTCTCTCATATATATATATATATATATATATTAAAACAAGGAAGTCTAGAAATTTTCTCCTGTTTTTGAATTTTTTTAATCCATGTCATTTTTTAACCTACCAATTAGCTACTTTCCCCAAAAAAATCTTCCTAAAATCTCTCTCTCCCTCCCTCCCCCACTATCCCCAACTTTCTCCTAAATTATCTCTAATTTAGTAGAGAGCTTCTCTCCTAAAAATTATCTCTAATTCTTATTTATCTTCTCCCCCACTTTTTATCTACATCTATCTAAAGAAAGTTTGAATTAAAAAAAATTATGAATTATTTAAATATTCCAACAAAAGTATATAATAACTTTAAAATCTTTATTAAAAAGACAAAAAATAATTATAATCAATTTAATAATATTCATATTAAGAATAATTATATATTTTTAGAAAATTCGTCACAAAATTATGTACAAACGATATAAATTATGCTTTTCGGATCGTTCAATCTAAATGTTATTCAAATAATTAAAATCTAACACTAAAAATGAAATATTATTTAAATATTTCAATAACTAAATATTTTAAATAACAAAACATTAAAATTAACATTTTAAATCAATTAATAATATATTTTAAATATTTACTGAACAACTTTCAATTATAATACATAGATTAAGATTTTAAATATTTAGTTAAATAACTAAATATTTTAAATAATGAAATATTTAACATAACTAGATTTTAAATAGTTAAAATAACAAAAGTATACATTAATAGTAATATAATTTTATGGATTATTAAATTCAACAAGTAATTAATATTTTAAAATTTAAATCATGATATTATTTCAATAAATAAATAATATTGTAAATAACTAATTTCATTTATACCAATTAATAATTCTAGAAAATAACTTTCAAAAAATTAATGTTTATTAATAATAATTTTAAAAACATAAGCTATATTTATTATATATTTATATATACTAAAATTAATATTTATTGTATTTCACTAATTATTTATTATTTTCTGTGAGAAATATATTTTCAATAATTATGTATAAATCTATTTTGTTTTGTTATTTTATAGAAAATTTTCAATACTTATTAAATCAATTAATAATATATTTTAAATAGTTACTGAATAACTTTCAATTATAATACATAGATTAAGATTTCAAATATTTAGTTAAATAACCACATATTTTAAATAATGAAATATTTAACATAACTAATTTTAAATAGTTAAAATAACAAAATTATGTATTAATAGTACTATAATTTTATGGATTATTAAATTCAACAAGTAATTAACATTTTAAATTTTAAATAATGATATTACTTCAATAAATAAATAATATTGTAAATAACTAATTTCATTTATACCAATTAATAATTCTAGAAAATAACTTTCAAAAAAATTAATGTTTATTAATAATATTTTTAAAACTTAATCTATATTTATTATATATTTAAATATACTAAAAATAATATTTATTGTATTTCAATAATTATTTATTGTTTTCTATGATAAATATATTTTCAATAATTATGTATAAATTTATTTTTGTTTTGTTATTTAATAGAAAATTTTCAATAATTATTGGAGTTTAAATTACTGTTATTTAGCTTTTTAAATTTAATTTATTGTGTATTTTTGCTATAAATTTATAACAATTATTGGAGATTAAACTATTGTTCACGGGTTGGTTCGGTTTAGTTGTAAATTGTTTGGCCAACCAAATTGACCTGGTCAGGTTGGGGGTTGATCACTCAGGTTATATTGGTTTGGGCCAATTTTCGGTTTGGTCGGTTGGTTTGAAAGATTTAAACTTAAAAAATTAAATATAAATTTTAAAAAAATTACAATGGAATTATTAAAAAATAAATTCAAAAATTAAATTTATGATATAAAATGTTTTAGCCTAGGAAATATTGGAATTTTCCCACTTTCCTGTATTAAAAATACATTTAAAATATAAAATATTAATAAATATTTATGGTCGGGTCATTCGATTTTAGTCAACTTACAAATGGGCAAAGCGAAACTAATTCAACCCATTCGGGTTAGGAAATTGTTGAACCAAAGCCAACTGGAAATACTAGAAATCGGGTTGGTCAGTTTCATTAGTTTGATTAGAAATGGCAATGGGACGGGGTGGGAATGAGGAGCCTCTCCCCATCCCTGTCTCCACGGGGATCCCCACTCCCTGTGATTCTTTATAATATCAACCATTATGTTTTTGTTTTTTATTTTATTTAAAAAATAAAAATAAAATAATTAAAATTACAATCCTATTAGAAAAGATTCAAACATATTCAACCATTTTTTAAAAATATTAACATATAGACGTATGTATACATATATACATATATAAACGTATGTGTGTATATATATATATATATATATGTTAGCGGGAATCCCATGGGACGGGGATCAGGGTCCCTATGGGGTAGGGAGTGCTCTCCCCGTCCCTGTGCCATCCTCGCCAACGGGGATGAAAATCTCCCCATCTCCGTCCCCGTGGGGGGAAAATCATCCCCATCCCTACTCCATTCGTGGCAGATCCCCACGGGGATTGAGGAAATGGGGAAAATTGTCATTCCTAAGTTTGATAAACAACCCTATCTAAAATTAATTATTGTTATTTTTGTATTGTAAAAAAATTATTAAAAGTAGTATATAAAATATAAATGATTATTAATTATTATATAAAACGATTATATACTCTTACATGTTTCTATTATTTATCTTTAACTTAACAAATCCCGTGCATTGCACGAGTCCCCACTAGTAAGTAATGACAATGTGGGAGTCTCCCTCAATGATGAGCCTCATCACATAGATACAAAAAGCTGGAAACCTCCTAAATATTCGTAATTTGAAACCTTTTTTTTTGATAACTTTGAAATTTCTCATATTTTGCTAGATAAAAAAAGCAGGTATGAGAAAGGTTCAAAGTATCAAAAACGCAAGGTGTATCGGAAAGACAATTTTAAGAGACATATTGGGATACGCTTTGGATACATATTGATACAGACGAAAAATTAAGATACACATAAATATGTTAGGAAATTCAAATAAATCCTAAAAAATATATTACCAACAATAATTACAAGTTTTATATGATTCTAAATAAGTCATTTAAATGTAAAAAACCATAGTTTAATAATTTATATAAAGTGTGAGATAACGAGGACACAATTAGAAACCATTGAAAAATAATGGAATAACAAAAATGTGAAAAAAAAACAAAAAAAAAATTAAAATATGAGTGTATATACATCAATATTAAAATAACCAATATAATTTATCTTAATATTTATTAATATGTAAAAGTTAATAATTAATTCCAGCATTTATTAATAAACACCCACTAAGAAAAGAAAACATTTACTTAAAAATAAAAATGCATATACTAATAACAAGCAAGTAGATGTGGCCTAGTGGTGAACTTATGGGTGTTAAAGTCTAGTGACCAAGGTTCAAATCTTGCCATCACTTGAAGTTTGAAGTTTTTATAATAACAAAACGAAATTAATGAAGTACAAGAAAAAACTAAATTAATGAGAGAGGGGATCATTAATTAATGGAATTAATGAGAGAATTTGACTTAAGCGCTAAAATTCAAATTTAAAATTTAAATTTGTCTTAGAAGTAATTAACTAATTAATGATTAGACTTAAGTCTAGGAGTAATTAACGAAATTAATGAGGGACAATTCGGTATTAAATATAGATTGAGAAGGGGGCCCAATCAAGTGTATCGGGCTATATCGGACTATTTTGGGATCGTATCAGCCAATACAAACCCGAAACAGCCCGATATGGGCCCATATCTGTGTGATACATACGATAAGAAACGGCACAAACAATTTCTTCACGTTCCGTGTATCGGGTTCTTGTCGAAATGATATGTATCGGCCAATATGGCCCAATACGTTGCGATATTTTAAAACTTGGGTATGACCAAGAGAAGTAGCAAAAAAATCATTGCTGATCAGAACAATTTCCCTCCCTTTTTAGACTTTCTATCTTTAAGGATGAACCTGTGTCTTCCTTTTTGTTACCTTCTAGCTCAATTTCAGGCTATGCCTGGAACCTAGGGTTTAGGAGTCTCGAGGATGCTGAATTGAGTAGTGTTTCAGTCTTACTTCATTATTTGGATGGGGTATTCTTGAACCTTCAGAGTCAAATTGTCGGATTTAGTGTATTGATTCTTCTGGTTCCTTTTCTTGTACTTCCTTCTTTTCGGCTTTGACCCAACCTTCTGATAATTCAATGTTGGCCTTTCCAATGAAGGAGGTTTTGAACAAGCCTATTCCCCCTAGGGTAAGTGGTTTTTTTCTTGGGAAGAATTAATACTTGTGATCTTCTTCAAAGAAAGAGACAAAATTGGTGTCTCTCCCCAAATTGGTGCATCCTTTGCAAGGCTAATGGTGAGACTAGCTACCACTTATTAATTTCCTGCCCTTTTGCTCCTTCTATTTGGGAATGGTTTTTCTCTCTATTTGGGTGCAGGTGGAACCCCTGTCAAATGTTCAAGGCTTGTTTCATTCTTCCTTTGTTAACTAGAAAAAGAGGAAGGGAGAACCCTTTGGAGAAGTACAAGAGTGGCAGTATGCTGGATGATATGGGAAGAAAGAAATCAAAGAATTCTTTCAGACAAGGAAAGGAGCAGAGAAGCAATCATTGAAGCCATTACTATCAGAGTGATCCATTGGGTTAAATCCTTGAGAAGTTTCGATGACATTCCCACAAATGACTTGCTTAGAAAGTGGAAGGAGGTGGCTGATTCCTCTCTTCCAATAGCTGTTATAAGGCCTGTTTGGGTCCTACCTCCTAGTGGGTTTATTAAGCTGTATTCTGATGGTAGTAATGAGGGGAATCCAGACCCTTCAGGTAAAGGATGTCTTTTCGGAATGAGGAGGGAGGAGTTATTGCCCTTTACTCGGGGCCAATAGATGTGGGAGACTCCTTGAGGGCAGAAATCTTGGTTGTGATGGAAGGGATCCAAAAAACCAATGAGATGAATATAAGAAGATTGAGCATAGAAGGGGATTCAAAGCTGGTAGTTAGCTGGCTGCAAAAAGATGGGACTGGCTGGTGGAAACTTATCAATAAAAGGAGGAAGTTTAAGTTTTTAACACAAGATATAGAGATCAAGTTGCAGTGGGTTAAAAGGAGTGCAAATGCCTTTGCCGATGTTTTGGCAAAGCAAGGGGTGGGAAGGGATCAACTCTTTTGGGCTGTTCTGTAATTGCTGTATGTTTTTGTCATCTTGGACTTGGAGAGAGTTAAGAGAGTTTCTCTCTCCGAGATGTTTCCTTTTTTTTTTGATAATTAACAGAAACTTTTATTAAGAAAAATTAGGAGAAAAGGATACAAGAGGAGGGAGGGGTAAAATCTCTTAACCCTCCCTAAAGGTACATTTCAAGTTACAATATTGCCCAGAATAGATTGACTCTTCCCACTCCTCTTAGTCCACTGAAACTTGATTTCCATGTTTTGAGTAAACTGTTTAACTTTCTTTTTCTCATTTAAGTACTTCCACAAACTGAACTCTTCCTTCTGTAGCCAACTGATAACCAGCTTAGAATCACCTTCCACCATCAGTTTTCTGATATTCAGCTCATGGGCTCTTTATACCCCTTCCAGAACAGCCAATATTTCAGCCCTTAGAGAATCCCCCCATCCAATAGAACCAGAATACATGGAAATAATTCGACCTTCTTCGTTAATTAATGAAATTTTCTCATTATTGATCAAAAAAACCCACCATAAATGTAAGAAGAAAAACTTGAAGACAATGGCACCTTCCTAGCAGAAAATTATCACTGATGTCAGTCTCCCTGCTTCAAATTTAGTACTCAAAACAACTAAAACCTAACACTCAGTCCTGTGCGCTGCTAAATTTAGTGGATTGCCAAAGTATGATGCCAGGTCTATGACACTAGTAGATGCAAGCATATGTTACATCATGAATAAATCTATAATTCACATCAATTGGTGGGAAATAAATTGTCTACAGGCTAAATTGTAAAAACGGATAAAGCTAGATCTAGGGTACAAAGGATGTTTTTGAGTGATGATAGCACTTTGCCTTCAAACATTTTGCCTGGAAGGTTGTCTCTTTATTTGTACACTTTTGTCTATGGCAATATTACACACATTACTTTCCCCAAAATCATATAGTAAATATGGATAGAATTTGAAAAGAATATCACCACCTAGAGTTTTTAACAACTTGTCTATCTGAAAGCACTAACAGAAGTTTAAACTAAAATGAAAAGACCAATACTATTTTTTTCCATTGACTAAATCATTTCACAAAAGAAAATCATGTTAAGCAACAAATAAGCAAAGAGAAATGCAACATACCACTGTTACAGAGCATCAAATAGCAGTGATAGTATGGCAACATGAAAACCAGCAATATTATCAAGCAAAACAAATCAACCTTCCAGTTTATCCATCTCGCCCTGCAGCCAGAAAGTAGTCAAACTTCTTCATATCTTATAAAAATGTCCTCCTATCAATATAGGAATTTAACCATTTGTAAAATACTGAAAATGAAATTCAGAGAAGAAACATCCATGTTAGAAGGAGATCTTTACATCATTTGGTATGCAACTTGCTCAATATCAATTTGTACAGTACATAGAAATCCAGGGCAAAGCAGACAGATGAACCAAGAGTCCTCAGGAGAAAAGAAGGCTAATAAGTCAGCAGATAGGCCTTCCTCTCTGTCCTGGAAGTAATCCTAGCACAGTGAATATTCAAAATGTGTTCTGCAAAAGGCTTAATCTGGCCCCCCATGGTCTATGGTCTCAAATCCAGACATCAAGGAAATTGAGGCAGTCCATATCTATAAGGTTGGATGTTCTTGTGCTATGAGAAATCTAAACTCTTTACAGAACCAAGAGTTCCACCTCAAGGATGAGCGTTCCCTTCCATACTCCACCACAAGCAATCATCAGTCACCAGTATGCCCTCAAATTATGCCTCCATATTTGGACCTGTCTTCCACCAAGGACCTATCACAATTAAAAGACCACACTGAAGGAGGAGGATTCAGCCAGCAGCCTTGCATCTAACCTATACAACCAGTTTGGTAGGAAATATGCCAATTTTACTCAGAATATCAGACTTTAGGGCTGTCATTAATCCATAAGGAAGTATTAATCACAGAATGGTGGGCATAAAAGGAAATAGACTGATTAACCTATTCAGACATTCTGTTCTTGTTCTGAAATGTACCTGGTAGTATTTACAGGAAGAATGGCGGGTGATGACCCTGAGGGGTGTTCGAGCACTCTTATGCTTAGACATAAAAGTGGCAGGGGAAAAGAATATGAAAACCAAAATATTCAAGTAACTAGCAGGATTTAATGCATGATAATTGTAGAACTCAAAAGGTTAGGGATCTTTCTGACAAGTCAGGCAAAAGCCTGCCCAACAATTATGTTGTCACTGCAAAAGCACAAGGTGTGCAAACCCAGGACCAACCATCAGATGAAATTTAATAAAGCTGGGAACACTGACGAGGATGCAAAGTCTTTAGATTCAATGATTGACCAGTAAATGGAAAGAAACCAAGTGAGTAATGGAGGCAGTGGAGGAAGCAGAATATTGTTGATAAACACATCTTTGTTAGGTAAGTGGCTCTGGAGATTCAATCTAGAACGAGCTATGACATCTATTAAAAGTATTCATATGGTTCAGCCAAATGGATGGGAAGCAAAATTGGTGCCAATAACTACCTTGGCCTCTCCATGGAAAACTATTTATTCTACATTTTAAGTCTTTCTTAAATTCATTAGAAATGACTAGGTGAGTGAGAATTGGTTACATTATGGGAAGATCTCTGGTGGGGAGAATCTCCTTTGAAACAGAGCTTCCCTAGGTTATTCAACCTATAAAAATCATCCAATCTCATCATTTGTGTCTTTTACAGGTAATTCCTTTTCTTGGTATTTTAGTTTTAGGAAAGGCCTCAGGGATCAACAGATGTTAAAAGTCATGCTTCTATCATCTCCTGATTCTTGAGGGTGTCTTCCTGGATTCTAATGGGGTGGATTAGAGAGTACTGTAACTGTTGAAGTGTTGATAATTGTGGACAATTCTCTTGTTCTTCTTTCTTCAAAGCCCTTTGTCTCTTCTCCTCTGTATCCTTTGGCGTTTCTAGATAAAGCAATCCGGTTGGGACCACTCCAAAGATTAGAGCTTCTTTGTTAAAAGGTTTTTTTCTTCTTGAAGATAAATAAAGAAGAAAATTCATTAAGATAACAACCAGCAAATATTACAACAGGTCTAATTAGAGCTTTCTTTGTTAAAAAGTATACCATCTAAATATTAATACTTGTGGAAATTTTAAAAAAAAAAAAAAGGTCTAACTGGATAAGGGAAGAAGGTAATTTCAAGACATTTTCTAACAAATATCAATTCAAGGAATCAATTATTGGGCTCAGAGTAATTCACTGCATAAAGACATTTGAAAATTTATTATGCTTATTTTAGGGGATAGAAAATAGTGGCATCATCTTCTTCCAGTGGAGATAACACTAGGAGGTGTGGTAAAGCTGAATTTTGACATTTGTAGCCTTAGCAACCCAGGTCAGTCAGGCATAGGAGGTGTTTTCAAAAATCATGATGGAGATATTTTCTGGGCCAATGGGAGTGGGCAATTCATTAGGAAGAGTTGTATGCAATAATGAATAATCTAAGAATTAGGATTAGCAAGGGTATCAAGATTTGGTGATCCACTTATAGAGGGGAATAACATTGAAACTCGCAAGTAACCAACACTAGTTTCAGTCCAGATTATATCATCATCATCACAGAGTTGAAGACTCTAACCAAAGGATAACCCATTGATGCCATCATCTGGTGAGAGAGATCAATTACGTGCCGGAACCCGACCATCTTCCCTTTAGATGGTATTAACTAGAGAATTACCACTAAACCCTCTATCTATGCATATGGATCAATGATAATCCCTTCACTTTTATAACTTGTAAGGGGTAAGTGGTGAGATAATTTCCGGTAGCCTACTTGAGGGATGCACAGCATACTTGTACTTGTTTAATTCTTTTTACACATAATAAAGAAAGCTACTTCTTTACCAATCAAAAAAAAAAAAAAACTTTGGTTCATCCAGCAAACCAACCGTCTACAGTTCAATGCATTGGTGATCACTAATCATCTACCTGATTTTAACCTCTTCAAGCCCACAGAATATGAATCTGAAACTTCACTAGTAGTCTAGTACAGTAGTACTGTATACTAAGCAAAGCTCTGCCATGGACCATACTGAAAGAACTGACTATTGACCTCCTAAAATCCACAATTTGAGTCAAAAATCACGTTATTCAGAATACCAAGCGACATGAGACAGCACTTTCTAATCTTCCAAGCATTTCAAACAAATGTCAAACCTTCGTCCAAAATAGTTCCCTATAACTCAGTTACCCTAACTACCAAGTATAATTTCCTTTTTTTCTCCCTTGATTGGTTCTATCCGGAACAGATTTACAGCCACGTGCAAGAACTAAACCAAACATTAAGTACGAATATAATTCAGATCGAATTCACAAAATTCAAATTATGAAATAGCATAAGCAAGAATGCCCAACATCTTCGAGGCATTTTACAAAACAAAAAAAAAAAAAGCATTAGATCAAAAATAAAAACCTATACTCTGCTACTGCCTGAAACAACAACGAGATCGAACCCGTGGAACACCAGAAACAGAAACTAAATTGTGCCAAACTGGGAGAAATTCAAGAATTGAAATAGAAATGCAGCGGAGAGAAACGAGAGGAATTGGGGTAGCTCACTCTTTAGAGAGGAATGGTATGATCTCGAAGAGGACGAGCTGGAGCAGGTTACAGGAGAAGGCGAAGACGACACTGAAGAGGATCTGAACCAGAACCCTCTTCTCTTCATACTCTTTGTACAGTCTTCGGTTCAGGAACCAGAGCCCCGCCCATCCCAGCAAAGAAAGAGACCCCAACACCACCACTCCTTCGTAGATCACCCATCCCCACCCCATTTTCTTTCGTTAAGTCTTCACTGCTTCGAACTCACTCACAGTTGTTCATGTTAGTATTACTTCCGTTTCATCCATCCCCTGGTTTCCTTTCTCTTTACTCTTCTTCTTGTTTTGATAGTTGAGACTTGAGACTTGAGTTTGGCGGCACGAAAAGTGAAAAACCGTGAACGGCAAAAGTAAAACAGATGGGAGTGGATGGGGTCGTTGTGAGGTTGTTACGGGAGATGTGTTATTATTTACGGTAGATGCTCCCAATGCACGGTGGATGTGTCTGTGAGGTCGTTGTGAGGCGCTTAATGTCAGGAGGCGCCCATCCCGTCATATGTATTAATGGGCTTTTTATTCGCTGCATCTATTTGATGTAATCACTAGTAGCAGCCGACTTCTTTTGGGAAAATGAGACAGGTGGCAAGTATTTCGTGTCACCCATATACAGCTAGGATGTCAACATGGCACGGGTTTGCCTCAACCCTAATCCGACCCTCTAGCATCTTATCCCGGCTCGATCCTATAAGGTCTAACTTGATATCCAACCTAATCCAGAATTTTAACTGTAATTTTTTAATACATTTTAAAGACCTAAAATTCAATCATTTAAGTTAGAAAATTATTTGGGAGAATGATAATTCAGTCCAAGGTCAGAATTTGTAGGCTTAAAGTACATTTGGGGTAGGTGCCAGCTCGGAATTGATGCCAATGGGCGAGTATGGGGTGCATAGAGTGTGGGTTTTTGACCTTTGAATGTTGTTTATAGCTCTGCAATGGAAATCAGAAATCTGCATTGGGCCTGTCAGTATTTCTTCGAAATTATTTTATAAATTTAACATGTCATTTTCTCGTTTAAAGAAAACAAAATCAACATATAAATAAATCTTAAACTTTAAGGCTATAAAGTTAAAAGTCAAAAAGTATAAGAATATTCTGTATATATGCAAGGGTATCATGACCCAATAGGATGGGCCAGCCAAAACCTAAACCTAACTCAGATCGAATAATTAAACCCTTAATCCAACCCTAAAGCTGAATATGCCTAATCCTAACCTGACCCATTGGCATCCCTATCTACAACTACAAGCCCCAACTTGAATCTGAGTCGGGTTTCACCGAATCACATTGGACCTATAAGTTATGTCATCCATGCTTTTGAAGAGATGTTGCATGCAGACACATTATTTTTTTTTCTTTGGTATTTGGTGCCATGCACCACTGATAATTTCCCCTTTATCCCCTTTCCCCCCAAAGTTCTTGTTGTGGGATTCAATTCCGTGTCAACGCTAGAACAAACCAGCTAACACACCAATGAACAAACCAGACACATGATTCGTACACCCCAGTCCTTTTTAGGCGAAGATTGGTAGAGTTACAAATGATATATGTCCAAATTCAAATTCGAATTTGATGAAATATAAACCCACCCTTATCCAAATCCAAAATAATTCAATTTGATTCAATTAACATTATATAGATATAAGTTAATATTATATCATTCAACATGTGCATCAAAACCAAGGCAAATATGTGTTTTATATAAAATATATAATAAATTGTTTAAGTTCATAGAAGCTATTTTTAATTCATTTTGTTCAATACGATATCAAAGTTAATTTTAATTCATTTTATTAATAATATACTTCATCTTGATTTTTTTTGTTTTATTTATTTATTATTATTCAATGCCTAAGTGCAATATGGATATGGCTTGAACCACTTGAACCCAATATAAAATCTAATGGATGAGACCTGATTCAAATTCGAATATAGATGAATCAAATTTGGACCTACGTTTTTTTTTGACAATAAAATTGGACTTGCCTATATTCAATCTTTTACAATTACTTTGCAGACCTATAGAAATGTTATTACTCTCGAGTGTGCCCCTATTTAGAATGCCTTCTTCTAGGATTTGTTTGTTTGCAGTACAATTACAAGTCAATTGCAACTTTGCATTTTGATTTGGAGTTCTTTTGTGCTTATTGGACATTGTGATTGTACCCCTTTCTTCATGACGTGGTACTGACGTGATTGAAAGGATAAGGTGGGGCTACATAGGTGATGCAGTGCTGACGTGGCCGAAGAGTTAAGCTGAGCCTCGGAGACGACGCGGTGCTGACGTGGCTGAGGGAATAGAGCGGCCACGTAACATCCGGAGCCAGTTCAACCATAACCCGAACAGCTTTCACAAGTGCTCATGGTTCAATTAACCAAATCGTGGGCTATTTTTTGAAATTGAACCAATATTATCGATTTTGAACATCCTCGACCCAAAACAGAATCGGATCAACCAATTAGTCTGTTGACCAGTTCCAGTTTTGACTAATCCGGTTCTTTGTTTATTTTTTTTGTTTTTTGTATTTATAATATATAAATATATAATATATAATGCATTATGTATTATAAATAGATTATAACAAATAAATATTATAAATATATAGATAATACAAGACTTTGCGCTTGCACCGAAACATGGCTCAATGTATCAATACTCATTGCATCAAAAAATTGCATTTTTATGAGTTTTCAAACAACAATATTTTTTTTTTCAGTGCAGTACATTAGGACTTAGAAGGGGCTTTAATTTTAAATTTAGAAATCTCCTAAATCCTAGTAATATAGCATTTCGGTGATGTTGGAAACTAATAAATACCATACAATACAGTACAGGGAAAACATACATGCCAAAAAGACATGGTATTGGAAGATCTTTGACCAAGCAAAACTTACTAATGAATTTTGATAAGGGAAATTGTCTAAAACTCACCATAAGATTTCAACATTTCTCTTAAACTCACCACAACTTTTCAAAATGTCTAAAACTCACCATGTCACTAACTTGACGTTAAACAGACTAACGGTGTTAATATATTATCATTTTAGCCTTCATAGAAAAATATAAAATATATACATATATATATTTTAATATTTAGACATGAAAAAAAGGAAAAAAGTTAAAAAAATATTTTCAAATATAAAATGCATAAAAACACTGAAACTACAAAAAAATATAAAATTATAGAAATTGAAAAAAAAAATAAAAAAAATATTTTCAAATTATAGAAACAATAGAAATTGAAAAACAAAATCAGAAAATAACAATTGTAGAAGAAATGCCAAAAATTATAGAAAAACACAAAAATTGCAAATAAATAACAAAAAATACAGAAAAATTTATAGATCGTAGAAAACAGAAAATGTAAAAAAATAGAAATTATAAAAAACATTGGAAATTATAACAAAACACTAAAAAAGCAAAAAAATAAAATATAATTGAAAACTAAAAAAGACCCTTTTCCTCTAACTCGCCATTCAAGGGTAATTTGGTCATAAAAATTGTTATTTATGCTGACATTGACACTTCTATTAAGAGGCATTATCAATGCACTAACGGAAGGTGAGTTTTGGAAAATAAAAACTTACTGACATGGTGAATTTTAGATATTTTGAAAAGTTGTGATGAGTTTAAGAGAAATGTTAAAAACTCGTGGTGAGTTTTAGACAATCCCCCTTTTGATAAATACCATCTAATTGGTTAAGACATTTATGATACTAATTGATTGGTCACAGGTTTTTCAAATATGATGTCTTTCTTATATGTATCAATACTTAAATGATACGTGAAAAGCTGGCTGGGTAGTGGCCTAGTGGATTTGGTAACCACCAGTTTACCTAGTTATATGATCAAAAACATAAAAAAATCAAGGTCTCACTCAGCTATCCAAGTCACCATGCTCAATAGCCAGAATCATCATCAAGCCTTGTTCCAACTATATGGGGTTGGCTACATTAATCCTGTTTCACCATTCCAATCTATTTAATATCATATCTATCATTAAATTATTCATGCTTAAATCATTTCTTACTAGTTCTATGTATGTTTGTTTGGTCATGGGTAAAAGTGGAAAGAAATTATTAGAGTTGTGTTTGGTACCACTGATGTTTCTTCATGAAACATTTTGGGGTTGATCAAGATGGGTTGTCACTTGCATAAGGGAATCATTTCAACTATGAAAAATGCATGTGAGGACTGATCATTGCTGTTTAGAGATTTTTTCTTTTTTTCTTTTTTTTTTGGTAAAAAGAGTGAAATGTACTAAACATGAGAAAACAGATTACATAGATGCCCTAAAGCTTGGCAGATCTTGGGCAGCAAGCTCCTAAACCCAAAGAGGGCAATTTTAAATAAACACCTACTCAGAGTGTCATTTTTTTGCCATTTTATGGGTCAAAGTGTTACTATACCTATTTACAAAATTAAAAGAAACATCAAGAGAGTCGGCAACTTCCAGTATATCCTTGCACGTGAAGAAGGCATCCTTAACACAATCACTTTCCCTCAAATGTATGGTTCTGATTAGGTTGGCACAATCGCTTTCTATTATGGCTTTGGGATTCTGCAACCGATACAAAAGCTCCAACCCCTTCAAGACTGCAGTAGCCTCCACTTAGACCAGAGATGAGACTGTAGATTGACCAAACCGAACAACTACAAGCTTACCGAAGTGGTCTCTCACCACTACCCCAAAACCCACACAACCTTCTTTCAAAAAACTCCCATCTATATTAACTTTGAGAACACCAAAGTTTGGGGAGACCAAAAAACTTTCAACATTCTTTGTCCAGTTGTTGGGTAAGTATGCTACCAATCTTGTTGGGAAGTCTGGCTCATCTCCCTCATCTTCCTGTAGACCACAACAACAGTCCATTTTGGATTAAGGGTGTCATTATTAAAAATAAAATTATTTATATTTTTCCAGATCAGCCAAAGCAAACATGCTGATAGGAAAATGATTTTCATTTTTTTCTCCCCCCATCTATTACCATCTTCCACCTAGAAAATGAACTAGGATCTGAAATCTCTAAAGGAACAGAAAGCAGAGCTTTTCAGATTTAGGGGGCTTGCAAACCAGGTGCTTTTGCATGGTGATAGAGGAAAAGGGCATGGATAATTGTTTTAGTTTCAGTATGGCAATTTGGACAAATACTTGAGTCTGTCACTTTTCTTTTTGTTAAATTTTCTTTAACTGCAATAGTTTCACAGCAACACTTCCAGTTGAAGGACTTAATTATGGGGTCTACATTTAGATTCTAGATTAAGCTCCAATTATTTTTTCCCCATTCCACTTTGACCCTTCCCATCTCTATCATTTTCTCTTAGCCCGTGCTCTTGGTTTTGTTCATTGCCACCTGGTATGCTGATTTAATAGAGAACTTACCATTTTCTGTAAACTTCCACATGAGTATGTCCTCCCAACTTCCTACTACCAGGGAATATTGATAATATTTTTTAGCATAGAATTCAATAAACAAATTTTGAATTTTTTGTTCATCCCAGCCCCGTCTTCCTTCTAACATTAAATATTGAACCACTAAGTTAGATTGGTTTGGAGGTGTTGGACCTTGTATTTTATAACCTAGAATTGAGGGGATCCAAGGATTCTTCCAAATTTTGACCTTGTCACCTGAGTTCACATTCCAACAACACCTTTGTTGGAGAATACCATTAGTAGCCCACAAACAAATTTCTTTTGTGCACAACCGTCAGGCTTGCTTTGCCAGAAGGACTAGGTTAAAACTGCGAGGGTCTCTAAAGCACAGTTCTCTACTTAATTTATTTCTGCAAATTTTCTTCCAATTCAGCCAATGAATTTTATCTTTTGAGTTTTTTTGTATTCCACCAGAGTTTTCTTTGGATTTTTTTTTCAAATGTTCACACACTAACAAGGGTAGGAGGAAGTAAGACATTGTGTAAGATGGGATTGTTGTTCTAACCAACTTCAAAAGAACTTCTTTTCTTGCCCAAGAAAGGAGTAGACTCTCCCAACTCTGAGTTTTTTTCCCAGCTCTTTCCACGATGAAATTGAATAGATGTTTTTTTTTTATCTACCAATTTTAGTGGGCAAACCCAAGTAAATTGATGGATAGTCAACTTTTTTCATTCCTAAAAAAATTGTCCTCAATTTTTTGAGCCTAGGATGCATATTTTTGTTGAAAAAAAAAACCCTCAAATTTTTCTAAGTTTGCATTCTATCCAGAAGCCCTCTCATAACTGTGGATAGCCTCCAATATGGCATTCCCTTATTTAGGATCAACTCTAATGAACAGATAGTTGACGTATGCAAAAAAAGATGTGAGATGGTAGGGCAGTTTCGATTGAGTTTAACTCAATCGATTTGGTTTTTTGTAACAAGTTTATTTAATTTTGCTGATAAGGCTTTAGAGACAAAAAGGAATAAGTAAGTCCCCTCTCAGGTTTTATTACAACCCCTGGAGTACCATTCACAAGGATTCTATAAGTCACTGTTGTTACACACTCCATAACCCAAGCAATCCACATTTCCCCAAAACCAAGTTTTTGCATTACACCCTTGAGGAATAACCATTCCACTCTGTCATATGCTTTACTCATATCAAGCTTAAGGGCGATCCAATTCTTCTTTCCTTTTGTCTGGTTCATGTAATGAATCACTTCATGAGCAATGAGTATGTTGTCCTAAATCAACCTTCCTGGGATAAAGGCACTTTAGTTTTCCCAACCTAATCAACATTATTTTTGCTATTATCTTGTAGGTAGTGTTGCACAGGCTTATAGGTCTAAAGTGGGGGGAGACTCAATACATTTGACTTTAGGGATTAGGGCTATGAAGGTATTATTTATTTCTTTCAGCAAAAATCCTTCATTAAAAAACATGGTAACTGCTTTGGTTACATCCTCTCCAACTACCACCTAATACTTTTGGAAAAAAAAAATGGAAGTCCATCCAGACCTGGAGCCTTCCTCAAGACCATTTGAAACATTGCTTCTTTCACCTCTTCCTGAATAATCTCCCTTTCTAGTTGAATTCTCTCATATTCATCAAATTTTCTTTAGAGCCCATTTATACATTCTTCTAGACAATCGAGGTTGGAGGTTTTAAGTATTTTAGTGAAAATGCTGGTTTAAGATGCCCTCAATCTCCTCTCATCCTCACACTAGATTCCTTCTTCGTTTTTTAGGGTCTGAATTTTGTTTCTTGCACTTTTTCAAAGTTAAGGCATGGAAATACTCATTGTTCCCATCTCCACAAGACAGCCAATTCACCCTAACCTTTTGATGCCACATGATTTCCTCCCTCTTCATAAAGTCCGCTAGGTCCTTTTCCAGATTTTTTTTATCATTTCTCCTTGAAATTGATTACCCTGCTTCTTTTGTTCATCTTCAATTTTAGACTCCAACTCTTGGATCTTCCTCTGAATAATACCAAAAACCTCCTTATTCCATTTCTGAAAGTTTTTCCTAATTTCTTTACCTTTCTGGCAAAGTTTAAATTGTTTTGACCCATGGGGCTTCATACTCCAATTATCTTTAACTACAGATTCACATTGCTCATGTGACATCCACATTTCTTCAAACCTAAAATGTCTTTTCTTCCAAATTTTCTTTTTCAGTTTCTACTAGAATTGGATAATCGTCAGATCCTAAAGCTATAACAGTTTGGACAAAGGCCTCTTCAAATAATTGCCTCCAACTATTATTGCAAATACCTCTATCCAATCTTGCTCTTATTAAATGGAGATCCTCTCTTTTATTTGACCAAGTAAACCAAGGACTTGTAATAGCCATTTCCAGTAAACCACATTGTTAAAGGAAATCTCTATTTCTTTGAAGATAGTTTATGCTACTAGCTCTATCCCCTTCCTTTTTATTTATCTAGGAAGTGAGATTTAAATCCCCCATGTATAGCCAAGGTTCTGAAGTCAGTTCTCCCAAACTTTTCCATTTTAATAAAAAAAGTAGCCATTTTTTCTTTTTTCTTTTTTCTTTTTTTTTTTTCTGGCTCCCCATAGATGAAGGAGCAATACCAATTGCCTTTGTTGCCATCATGGATTCTGACATGAATAAATTTACAGTCCACATAAAGAGTTTTAAGTTTATGTCAATAGTCCAAGACAAGGCTAAACCCCCACTCAGCCCACTAACATCAACTCCCCAACATTCCCATATTTTAAGAAAATCTAATTTCTTTCTACAATTAATTTTGTCTTTGTCTCCATCAAAAAAAGTATTTCAGGTTTTTCTTTTGTTTTGATCTCTTTCAAGGCACGAACTGTCAAAGAGGATCCTAATCCTTGATAGTTTCAGCTCATAATCCTCATTTGGCCCTTGGGTTCTGTTGCGGGACAAAACCCCTAACCCACTTATTTGAAAATAGAGAAAAACTTATAATACAACTATCTGAATTGACCTTTAATTTTTTTTTTTTGTTTTTTCCTGATTTTTACCTCCACTCCAAGTTATTCTGTGTACTTGTTGAAGCATCTGCACTCCCAAAAAAGATTTCCAATTATTGTTCCTTTCTTTATTTTCAAAGTGCCTCTTTCTATACATCTTTTTTTATTGTTTCCTCTCTTCCCCTGTTTCTTTTAATCCCCATTGCTTCTCCTTTTTTGAATTGTTTTTTTATTGATTTCAGTTTCTTTCTTCCTTTCTTTTTGGATTTCCACAAAAAACTTCCAAAATGTTTCCGATAATATGACATGACAACTCATATTTTAACACCACTTTCTATTGATTAACCCCAAATGTTTCATGAAGAAACAGCAATGGTACCAAATATAACCTAGATCTTGACAAATTAGTTTGGTGCATTGCATTATATTGATATTTGATAATGGTAGGCAAGCTGTTTTGTTGGGTGCAAAAATAATAGCAAAAAAAAGACATCTTAACAACCTAAAACCAGTAGCATAGAAACCAACTAGGAAGAAGAAAAAGGAAAAGAAAGGGTCTTAACGTTGAGACAAAGTTCTTACAGAATTTCAAAATAAGAGATAAACAGAATAGAGGGAAAGTTGTTAAGTAATTTATCAAACCTAAGAACAGCCTAAAAGATTTTTTTTTTTTTGTAAAAGAAAAGGCAAAATAAAACCTTTCAAGTTTCGCCTATTCTTTTGGGTACTAGGTTCCTGATAGGGGTGTCAATGGTTTTGAGTTGGACTCTGTCCAAATCAAATCAATTTGGACAGATTGGACGAACCAATAAGACATTGAATTGGACCAGCCCAAACTTAAGAGTTCAAAAGTATTTGATTGGATTGGACCTGGTCCATCAGTAATGAATATATATTGCATAGGGTCAGATTGAACCAATATCTGATTCATTGATAGAAGATAAAAATACATATGTCAATGAACCAGGTTTGGGTTGGGACCAAACTAAATTAAAACCAATTTAAACAGATTGGATGGTACAGACATTGAATTGAACTGGTCCAAAATGGTCCAGAGTATTCATCAGATTGGATTGGACGTGGTCCATATGTAATGGACTCATATTGGACATCGAATTGGACCAAATCAAGTCCAATTGGCACCCCTAGTTTCTGACTTGCACATGTAAGGATGAACGCAAACGATCAGCTCAGTCGATCATTTCCCATAAACAAAAATGATAAATCAAGCAACTTTCTTGGTATGATTCGACTCTAGAAATCTTTCAAGCAGTACCATTTTCTTCCCAAAAATCCTAAAGAAAACAATCATCTTTTTTTTTTGGATTATATACCCTTATAACAAGCATCTTCCATTTCATCAATTTTCTTGTGAATGGGTAAGAGTTTTTACTCTGGATAAAAGGAAATTTTATTGAAGCAAGGGGCCGAAACCTTGGCCCAAAGAGAATTTTTACAATTACTACTTGTTTGATGGTTACATTAGTCCTCCATGACACTAATCTTTCAAACCTGCAAAAACACCAAGAGATGCATTAGAAAATTTCTTGTTAGTCGGTATAGATAGAAACATAAATTTAGAACCTTAATAACATCGACCTGTGAAATGAACAGGCTGGTGTTGGAGGGATTTGTTTGGGAAGGATAGAGGGGAAAAAAAGACTACTGAAACTAATAATATAGCATCTCTTAACACTTAGAAAGCATCACTAAAATATATCATCTATACTATATAAAGTGGATACTTGGCTTTGGTGCAGGTTATAAAAGTTAACTTCAGTATCTTTACCCTTTACTTGCCAGCATGCCCTTACACTAGTTAACATAATTGAAAAACCTTATTATCGTGAAAATAAAGAAAAAAAAATGTAAATTCAAAAGATAGGATTGGAGGGGACAACATAAAAGCATTGAGCTGACAACACTCTACATGCTCATTATAAACTCTTGCAGCAAGGCTTTTACAATGTGGTCCCTGGGTATGGCACACAATTTTTCTATGTACAAAATTTAATGTATTTGTTTTATTTTGTTTAAAATTTAAAACCCACATTTGAGAAGTCATCCTTACCAAATTAATAGTAATTCAAACATATTAATGAACTCTTATAATCGTAATTCAAATGCTGATTCTGATAGTTGGGTTAAGGTTTTATTCAGTTAAAGTAATTCAAATATATTATCATCCAGGTTTTCCTGCAGGATCTTCACATTTGTACACAGTTTGTAATATCCTTTTTATTTGTTTACAATCATTTTCCATCATATACAAATGGCCTGATGACTAATTGATTTGCTCATCTAGTAGGCCATCGGTTAGTCTTTTATGAACCAAGAGTTACATAACCAATCAATGCATGCCAAATTAACATATAAACACTTTAAGCCAACACAGTTCATCCAGTGTCCAATATCCAAATTAACATCTAAGCAAATCAACTATTCAACGCATGTTTACTTGCATAGGCAACATCTCCATTGAAGACTTTGGCAATGAATAGCCAATTTCTCTAACTTTTGGACAACTTTCTATTATAATTAGCAGCCAACGCTATTTTGATTACATCCTGTTAAATAGAGAAGCCATGACCCATAATGATGATCATGAGAATATAACATTATAAAGCACTGTCTGACATATTCTTATTTGTTTCTATCATACCATATTGCTATCTTTCTTCTTGGGTAAACTACAAAGATCGCCTCTGTACCATGGGGGCATGACACTTAATTTCCCTGTACTATTTCTTGTGATAGACCCTTTTTTTTTTTGATAAATTTCTTCTGATAGACCCTTGTACTTTCATATAACGTCAAGCCTCTGATAATATTAATGATGAGTGAAAAATTAGAGCAGGATGGGCAAAATAGAGAGGTGCATACAGAGTCTTATGTGATAGGGTAATACCGCTCAGACTAAAAGGAAAACCATATAAAACAGTTATACAGTGTTGTAATGTTGTACATAGTGTTGGGAAATCAAGAAACAATGTGTGCATAAAATTAGTGTGGTGGAGATATGAATGTGGAGATGGATGAACTGGAAAACTAGAAAGGATAGGATCATAAATGAACTTTGGAGGAACCTAGGAGTAACTCTATTTTTTTTTTTTTTGATAGTAACATAAAAGAAAGATTTATTAAAAAACCACAAATTACATCCTAGGAGTAGCTCTAATAGGTCATAAAATGAGAGAAAATAGACTAAAATGGTTTGGGCATGTGCAAAGAAGACCATCTACAGCACCAATAAGAAGTAATCTATTACATGTTGAAGGGGCTAGAAGAGCTAGGGGAGCAGGGAAAAAAACAACATGGATTGAAGGAATGAGAACTGAGAAATGATTTAAGGGCTCACAATTTAGCAATGACTATGGTACTGAAGAGGATGGAATGGTGGGATTCATGTAGCTGACCCTGTATAGTTGGGACAAGGCTTAGATTTTATTTTATTTTTTAAGAAAGATGAGTAAATTTTATTGATGAAAAGAAGTAATGATACAACACACCACTGGAGAAAGCTCTAAACTTAAGATCCCCCAACACAAACAACAAACATCACATCAGTACAAGGTCAGCATGATACAGAGAATGCAATGGGGTGGTCAGAGAGATGTTCTTAGAGACTGAGGCCCAGGACCCAACTCTGCCAACAACTATATTAAAGAGTTCCTCTAGAGGTTTTGCCTTAGCTTTGAAAATTCTGCTATTCCTTTCACATCAGATTGTCCAAGGAATAGCTGCTATTCCTTGAATCTGCCGGTCATGCAACATGTCTAATACAGACCCGGGCAATGCCCAACTCAGGTTAGCTGTTTAATGATTATGATGCTGATTTTAGGAAATAGTGTAAAAGGCATAAGATTTCAACAGTCATTTCCAATAAGTAAAGCAAGTAGAAGTACCGACTGCTGCAAACAAACAAGAACTGACTGTCAAATTTACATTCTTCCAGGTTCAAACTTCAAAGGTGCAACAATTAGGCAAATGTAAGATACATTCAAGTTCAAGAAATTTTGACTGTCTTTTTTTTTGGTCCTAAATGGTATCCCACATGTTAAACAACATAAAATAGCTCTGATACCATGTCAACCAACATAAAATAGAATAACAACTCAAGGAAGAAACAAGAAGAAGAAATAGAGAAACACTAAGGTTTAATGTGGTTCGACTTGGTATCCTACATCCACAGGAGGAGAGGAAACATATCCACTATGAGAACAAGAGATACAACTCTCTCTCTCTCTCTCTCTCTCACACACACACACACTCTTACTCTCTTCCTCACTCACACAACCACTTGCTTAAATAAGCAAAAGACCAAAATACATTAGAATTACACATAAGCCCCTTTTTCTAACATAAATACATATAGGTCCCCATAACTTATCAATATTACAAATACAACCAAATACAGTATATCTCTCAACACCACACAAATCTTAATTTTATTTTCTTTGATTTCCAACACAATTAAAAGAACTCTATCGCTAAAAAAAGGAGAATATAGAAGCAGTTTAAAGAACATACCTAAAGGAAAAAAGTATACATGTTTTTCCCACATGTTTTTATTATGTACACTAGTTTAATATACATGAGATCCTGAACATTTTGGTTATATCTTGTGGTAAAAAGTTTTTTTTTTAAGAAAAGTAAATAAAAAGGTATGCTGTCTATAATTATCGAAAAAAAGGTGTGCTGTCTATTATACTAATATCATTTGAAGTTAAGTGCCATTTGTCACCTGCCAAATTTAGTTAAACTAATAATTTATAGAGATTAGTTATACACTTGTACTATGATTTGTTAAGATGTATCATTTTACATATTTTAAGAGTACTAATGCTACAAAACATACTGTAATAAGTATCCATGCAGTATCCTTTGTTGTATCAGGCACATATTGTATCAAACATTAGTATGATAGGCACATATAACCGTTTGGGTGTTATAGCTTACATATAGTTTGTTAGCTATCAATACTGAGATTAAAGGCAAAACTACAATAAACCCAATTTTTAATCCAGAAATCAAACCAAGTGCATCACAAGTTCCTAGGACTTATGCCTTACAAGTAGATCCGTATAAATTTAGAGTTAATATAGAACACTAAATGAATAACTTAGAAATGATCAAAGAAAAGAAAGAAAGTAAATAATAATAACAATACTACTACTACTACTACTAATAATAATAACAACAACAACGACAACGACAACAATAGTAATAATAAATGAAATAAAAACCATCAGATAAAAAACTTCACAAAACTTATTTTGATATTTAGCCTCTCAAAAAAAAAAAAAAAAAAAGCTTCCAATTCAACTTAACAAGTCAAAAAAGCCTTGCCTCAACTATATGGTGTTAGGCTGTCAGCTACATGAATCTCCTTCCATCATTGATCCCCCTCTATACAGTGCAATGTCCACTATTAAAAGTTAAAGTTTTAATTGAGGTGATTAAATCAGATTGATCATTGCTAAACACTAATTTTTGAAATAGATGAGTTGCAGTGATAAGAAACTGGTTTGGTTAAGCCTCAAGATTTCTGTTCCGGACCTTCTGGTGTTCATTTGGACAACTCAAAAGTAGAACAGTTAAAAAAGACGTTTAGATATTAAATGAAAAGGCTTCTGTGATTTATCCATAATTATGATCCATCCAAAGCATAAAGATTTTTTTTTGATAAATTCCAAGGCATAAAGAATACTTTCCACTATAAATGATATTACTGATCTCCTAAAAGAAAAAAGAAATTAGGGGCTTACTTCTATACCTTTGTGAGGGCTCAAGCAGCGATCTCTCAATGCTCCAACATTGTCCAACATAGATCTAACATGGCAAGAAATTTCATTGTTCATTACAGGGAAGTTGGCACCATGGTCCATGGAATTTATATGCTTAAAGCCGGACAGCTTTCCACTGGCTCCCCTCTTCAAATCATAAACATGTGGAGCAACATGGTTCCAACCATCCTCTACAGCATTTCGCATGGAAAGAAGAAGGTTGGATCTGGCAATCTCCAATGCACAGGCTCTAGTTGCCACAAAAACTGGAAGAGAGAGAGAGAGAGAGTCAAGTTCAGGAGCACAACAAAGGAAAAAGTCCATCATCCATATAATATGTGCTGATGTGATGCAGGAGCAAAGAATATAAAACTGGAATCCTTTGAAAAATTTATGTATCTTTTGTATTTTTAGATGGTACAGATATTTTGATCATTTTATGCATTACTATAGGGTCCAGTCCAGTTTCTTGATTTGTCTACTCATAGTTTGTTTGTGTTTAAAATTTCATAAACATTAGTTAAGTAGTTTAGGAGTTATTTACTTTTCTTATGATAGTGGAAACTCTGTAGTTTTTGTTTTTCCTAATTCTAGTAAGACCAGCCAGCCTTACAGTGTATTTGTATGTGTGAAGTGAAAAAACGTGGATTGATGAATGAACGAGTTTAATTGAGATTTTACAGAATATTCTGTTTGTACCCCATTGAGTGATTTTCATAATCATTGGTTAAGTAGTTGTTAGTTACTTTTCTTATGATAGTGGAAACTCTGCAGTTTTTGTTTTTCCTAATTCTAGTAGGACCGACCAGCCTTACGATGTATGTGTATGTGTGAACTGAAAAAATGTGGATTCATGAATGAATGAGTTTATTTGAGATTTGACAGCATATTCTATTTTACCCCATTGAGTGTTTTCGGGTTTTTTTTCTCTTCTTTTTCTATCTATTTTCTTTCTTAGTCTTTCAAGAATTCACTACAGCCATTAATAGACACAAGTTCTTCATCAAAGTAACTTTTCCTTTTATTTTCATCATAAACTAAAAAATACACACCCCCCCTGTTACTTTCATACCTCCAAATAATATCCCAAAATTCCACCTGGGGACCTAGATTCCATGATTGTCAAATTTTCTCCACCTCCCAAAGTTTGTTGTCCTTTTGTGCAAAATGTACTCTAAACCATACCAAACTTGGTCAACCTTTACATCCATCTAGGACAAACCCATACAAAAATTCAATGAAAAATTCCAATCATCCTATTTTCTCCAATTTGACTTTTTCACTATTCTAGGACAAATCTGCAATTCTTGTGACTAAAGCCTTGAGACCTTTTATAACTTCACTGATTCCTGTCTATGGTCCTAAAATAACATCCTAGCCCTCCTAGATTTATACCTTGGTTATTCACCTCCTAACCCTCCTAGACTCCAAGAATGCTATAAAATGGGTCAAGTATAGGGACTCCACCCCTTGGAAGCTATCTCACCTTCTTGAAATCCACGACATCTCCTCCACTTTGAACTGTAGCTTCAGACGGATTCCAAGAGAGCTAAATCAGTTGGCAGATAGTTTAGCTACATCTGGTTTGGGAAGGGATATTTTATATAGTGCAAATGCATTGTTATTTTAATTGTTTGGGCCCCTGCCTTTTTGTTTACATGGCCCTTCCCTTTTTTGAAGTATGAATACAAGTTGCCTTTTCTTAAAAAAAAAAAAAAATAGTTATGAGTCTATAAACAGTTCGTTGTAATTGAAAACTAGAAGATGTGGTTTGGTAAACAAAAGCTTGGTTTAGTGAATTCTGGTTGTAGTCAGGTATTTCTTTCTTTCCTCTCTAATTTCTTCTTGTAAGCTATGTTACTCAGATATGGTAATGACAAATGTGGACAAGGTGCCAGATGGTAATTTTACACTAAACGTTGATGTATTTGGCATGGTAGAGCACCCTTACAGGAATGTGAATATCTTAGCTTCTAAGAAATCTATTTCTTGCCATCTTTTTTTTTTTTATCAGTTATTTCTTGCCATCTTCTTGCTAACTGGTCTAACAGCAAGAGTTCCCTTCTTAATCTCCTCCTCATTCTTTGGTGTACAGAAAACTGTCTACTTTTCCCCATCTATATTCTTCATCATTAATCACTAAAATTACTTCACCATATAAAGTCAAACACCAAATCCAAAATGACCCTATCTGTCCACCATCAAATAGCTCTAAACCAGAATTTCTGATGATTTACTTCCACGAGGGATTGAATTTACTATTGTTTAAAAACAAGTGTGGTGTATGGATTCCAAGCTAAATGCTGTTTAAAAAGTACATCTAAAAGGGTCTAGGAAGTTATGGTATGAAACCTAATGCTTAAGTCTCGTGCAAGTAAACCTGTACAAACTATAAAACACACATATTACATATATGTGAACATTATCTTCTTTATTTGTTTATTGATCCAGACACTTAAAGAAGGTGCCACATAGTGTTCAAAATGTTGGTTTTATATATTTAAGAAAACACTAAGTATGTTGTATACCTCCAGATCCATTTAACATATGATACAATAAATATGTTAATTTGGAAGAGCATCATAAACTATAGTTATAAAATAACAGTCAAGTCCATTTTATTATTTTGGTTTAAAGTCTTCTTATGGTGGACATGACTTGTTTTTTTCTTGGCAACCTTCACGTGGCCAAAGAAACGAGAAAGAATTATGTGGAGGTGCACTACAGCAGCAATCATTTGGGCAATTTGGGAGAAAAAGAGCACAATAATTTTTAAGGAGCAAGAAAGGAGTAGAGAGGATTTAATTGAGTGTATTATGATTAGGGTGATAAACTGGATCGAATCTTTGGATGTTTTCTCATCCTCAGTAGATAATACCTGGATAAAAAGGAGGGAAGTGGCAGCAACGTCCTCTAAAAATATAGTAGTTCAAAGGTGCTAGAACCACCTAAGGCAGGTTTCATTAAGTAAGTTCAATTTTGATGGAATGAGCTTTGGAAATCTGGGTCCTGTCTTGAGTGGGAGGAGTTTTCAGGGATAAAGAAGGCTATACTAAAGAAAGCTTTTCAAGTCCATTTGGAATTGGATTCCACAAGAGCTGAACTCTTCGCTGTTCTCCAAGTTATACAACAGGTAAGAGATATGAACATGAACAAACTAATCATTGAAGGTGACTCAAAAGTGGTGATTGGATGGCTGATGGATAGTGGGAGAGAAGTGTGTCTTATAAAAATAAAGGAAGATTAAATGCCTGACTATGAATCTTCAAGTAAAATTCCAATGGGTACAAAGATCGGAAAATGGTATACATCTCCAAGTAAAATTCCAATAACAGCATAATCCATTCAATGCATGTTAGAAATAATACATCTCCATAGGAGTCCCAAAGGCCCAATAGTAAACCATGAACCGTGTGAGTTTTTTTTTTTTTTTGAGAATTTGTAAAATATTGTATTAATATGAATCATATGAAAAAGCGTACCATTAGAAGGAATTTCAACAAGGAAGTTTGCAGGAAGACCAATTCCAACACCAGCCAATGTGATGCCAATGCTAAATCCAACCCCACAGCCAGCTCCAACATAGCCAACCACCCCAGGGCCAAAGCCGGGACCCCATCCAACACCACATCCTATGCCAATCCCCATGCCCCAAAAGGCTCCAGATATTGGGTGCACAGGATTCCATCTTCCGTACCTCCTAAATAACGCTTTTATGATCATATGGATTTGCAGCTGCAGATAAAATCAGTGTCACAATCCTTGAATAAAACAAAGTTGAATATCCTAAGAGCCCATAATTGCAATAAGCATAAGATCAGACTTCATTAATAACAAGAAAAATTCCATATATATTGTTTAATTCAAGTCATTATGCATGAGAATTCAACAAGAAAATACACCATATCACTCACGATTGAGAGTACAGTAGGAAAAAAACATTCTGAAGCCATGGCATTTTTTTTTAATGCCAAGCCATGGCAAGTTCAATGTTCTCATCCTGGAACAAAAGATTAGCTCTTTGCTCTAGTCTCTAGAACCTAATACTTAATAATCATCAACACATCCCCAAATTCCAAGTTCTCCCAAACACCACTGGTGCTCTTTTTATGAACTAAAATCTCATCTAGTCTCAGTCAAAAGGTCTAAAGTATCCTTTCGGTATATACATGGGGACCATTAATTAAGATAAAGAATCCCTAACAGCTTCCTTTCGATATCTCATTAACCAAATCATCCGGCATTTTACAATACAAGCACAAACCTAGTCATCCAGCCAAACAATTCAAAACAACAAATATGAAAACATTGTTTACAACGCAACCCAACACTAGCTCAGCTAAGTAAGCAGGAACAAGTTTGAGGGCAAGGGTAATGTCATTTTCTTAACACCTCGAAAGGAGATTTATTTCAGAAAAGTAAATCCATTAGATAATACATCTCTGTCCAAACACAAACTTACATTCATCATGCCCTGCCTACTTTTCAACCTTGCTTAAGAAGAAAAAAAAAACTCTTAATTATTCATGAACCCAGAGAACTTAAAACAGTTTGAATATGTCCATGATATCAGAAGATGTTTTGATTTTTCTTTTACAATTATAAAAATCGACAAGGATCACACTAATAGAAATTTGGCTAGTTCTACTATTTAATTGCAAGAATGTATGGAGCTACTAGGGAGAAACACTTAAAAAAGAAACCAAAGCACACTCAAAATCAAAATACCATACCTGCATCAGAAAAATAAAAGAAAAAATAGAGGGAACCTTAACTAAAGTTCAACAAATATACACAATTTCTGTGCCTAAACAACTAGAAAATTGCAGAGAATTATCGAAAACCCCTATAATCAAATAATTAAGCAAAATAACAACAGAAAAAAAAAAAAAGAATGCATATTAAGAAATAGAATCCAAAGGAAAGATTGCTGGGGCTGTGAAATAACACGTGATCGAAGTAAGAGCAATTACCGGTATTCCATTTACCATCAGACAGAAAGACGCTACATCAACTGGTTTTCTACTATTCTCCCTTGTCCTTGGCCTCCTTCTTTGCTTTCTTTCTCGTTCTTCGTCTTCTTCCTCAGTGTTCAGTGTTCAAAGGCTCTTTTTAGTGTTTTTCTTCACGTAATGGATCACCCTGATAGCTACTTGCAGTTTGGACAGTTGTACTGTTCTCCTACGGGCCTCGGGCCAGGATAAGTTGGGCCCAGTTACTCTAAACAAACCAATGGACAGTTATCATCTCCATACTATGGGCTTTTGTGGCTGATTGCCTATAGATTCTTTTCTTTTCCGGGAATTATAACTCGGGTCGAGTTTAAGTCAGCCAGACCCGAAGACTTTGGGATAATCCAGCCGAGCTGAGGCCAAGGCGGGTTGGGGTGGGTTGGTCGGGTACTCGGTGTAAGTTTTCTTCACGTCTTACACTCCACCTTTTATTTGGGCGTTGGATCGGGTTAATTGGTAAATCCGGTATGGTCGGATTGGGGTCAGGTTCATGGGTTAACGTATTTATTCTTTTGCCCCAAACGGATTCGGGTTTGGTTGATCCGCTCCGATGGGTCATGACTCATGATACCCCTATTTATACATAGGGTATTCTTGTAATTTTTTTGGTAAAAAGACTTTTAATTCATATGCTTAAAACTTAGATTTTTCGTTTCATGTTTATTTTACTTTTCCTCTTGAGTGAAAATTAGAATCTATAAATCAGAATTTTAACTTTTTTTTTGCCAAATCAGATTTTAACCTAAAATCCATTAAGTTAATTTAAATTAAATCAGATTTTAACTTAAATTAATTTTTAACCTGACCCTCCAACGGGTGGGGACGTTGGAGGGTCAGGTTAGGGTTGAGGCAAATCCATGTCAATTCAGACCCGTGACATCTAGGGGTGTAAATGGATCGGATCATGGTCCAACATGAGATCTGACCCTATTTGGTTGATCATATCATCATCACCCATATCCAATTCAATATATTTTATATATTTATAAATGTAAATATATATATATATATATATGTGTGTGTTATTTATTTATTTATTTATAAATTTATTATATTATTATTTTTTAAAATACATGTATATATATGATGAAAATAATTAAAAAATACTTGCATTTTTTGTTTTTTACTTTATTTAAATTAATATATTTTACTTTTCTTTTAATAATTTATTAATTAGAAAACAAGTTAGACCGGATCAAATCCAAAGATCCAACTTATCGATAGGATTCGAATTCAAATTAAATCCTATCAAGTCTGATCAGATCTTCATATCAATGCCAAATTGAATTCGAATCCGACCTGATCCATTTGCATCTTTATTCACATCCCTTTAAAAAAGAAAAATATATATATACAATTAGATTTTTAAAAATGACTAGAATATACATTGCATTCTCTTACTATATAGGATGAATGGAAATGTTGTCGTGAGGTCACCATTTCAACCGCCGTCCGGTCCAATTTAGTCCAAGTATAACATAATTGTATAAGAAAGTGAATTATTGACGGGTGGTTTGATAATGGCTGAAGTGAGACAGACGGCCCATAAGATTGAGTGCCCTCCTCTATAAGTTGCAAGTGTTTACGAAGTTAAGGCTGTATTTGGATGTGACGTAAATCAAGAACCGATATAAAATTTATATTGGTTCGCTTTTGTACGCTTTTGGTAAACAAGTGTAATCATTATTGACGTAAAATTATACTTTGGTTCAGTTTTACGTGCGTTTGGATGGAGTGTAGTTTTACGTCGATGATAGATGTAAAACCTCATCACATTTAAAGTTTTACAATGATAATCGATATAAAAATTACATCGATTTTGTCGATATAAAACTTAAACCACTTTTTACATTGATTTCAAAATACAATGGTCATATATATTTAAGGTTCAATGTAAAACGTCATCAGTGTATTTTTACACCTCTTCCAAACGCAGCTTAAGGCAATAATATGGGATAATGATTTGAAAACCTCTTTACTAAAATGACAGGTTGGGTTCCCTTACAAGGTGGAGTAAGGGAAAATTTTGGACAAACTTCCATCTAATAAAGCTATGTTTGGTTTGAAGGAAAAAGTAGGGAAAGGTAAGGAAACTTTTATAAAACTTGTATAGGTTTTCTTACCTTTTTCTTCCTTTCCCTACCTTTTCTTTCAAACCAAATATAGTCTAAGGGAAATCACTCATACCATGAGAATTCAAATGAAAGGCACACGGTACATACAACTTAAACATGTCCAAGGCTTTTGACAAAATATGTTCCTTTTCATGTCTTACAAAAGATGGGCTTTCCCACCAAATGGTGCAATTTAATTCACTAATGTCCAAGCTTTCCCACCAAACGGTACATACAACTTAGACATGTCCAAGCCAACGATCTATTTTATCGAAATTGAGGGGAAAACCCATGAACATTTTCAGCTAAAGTCAGGTCTTAGACAAGGTGATCCCTATCCCTACCCTTTTGTCATTGGCACTGAAATGCTTACGCAGTTACTCCAACAAGGAGTAGTGAATGGAGAGATTGAAGGTGTTAAGATCTGTGGCACAAGCACCCCTATTACTCATCTCCTCTTTGTTGATGATTGCATATAACCCTCGTTCATATACTAAACATGTTTGAGACTATTTCAGGCCAAAGGATCAGTTATGAGAAATCTAGTATTAGCTTTAATAACAACCATCCTAGCTACAAGGAATTTATAGACCAAACCATTTCTAGAGTGAACTCCTAGAGTTCTAAACTACTCTCAAACATGCTGTTACAAATGGATCAAGTCTTTAAAACATTTTGGTAGAGTGATGGGAATCATTCATCCAAACATACTATATATATAGCATGGGAAAAACTGTGTTGTCCTAAATCACAAGGTGACCTTGATTTTTAAAAATAATGGCATTATGAATAAAGCAATGTTTAGTAGACAACAACGGAGGCTTCTCACAAATAGTCAAAGTCTTTATAGTGTACAATAATACAGGAAAAATACTTCCCCCATTCCAATATTTTATAGGTTAAAAAAGGATGTAAGAGTTCTAAAGGTGGCAACAAGCTCACACGTTGATTCTAGCACTAAAACCAAACCTATTATGGATCACCAAAGGTGGTTCTTCCATTTCAGCCCTCGGTCCTTGCGTTCCAACCCTACCCGATGGTATACCTTAATTACATTGCAAACAACTCATAGTTCTCAGATCATAGATCTGCTAACATGACAAGATCTCTAAAAGTATCATCTCCTACATCTTGGCTATTGAGCCACAATCTGACATGAACAATGACAAGATCATTTGGAGAAGAAATAGTTAACTCAGGCTCTTATACAGTAAAATCTGTTTATTCTTCATTCCTCACTCTTCAATTGTCTAGCTAGCTCCGGCAACCACTTCAATTGGAAAATACTCTACAAGCTCAAATTTTCATTTAGATTCCAAGTCTGATTTTATGGGATGGACCGTTAATCATGGTTTTTAAAGCCAGACCGGACTGGACGGTCAGACTGAAAAACTGGGAATCGGTTTGTCCAGTTCTGTTTTTCCCCAAATTCAGAATTTTGTCAAAAAAATATTGATTTGGTCAGCAAACCACTGATCCAAGTGGTTGAATCGTTCGAATCATATAACAATTTTAACCGTTTTTTATTTTTTTTAGTTTTTTTATCAGAATGGGCCGTTCGTTCGATTCAAACGATCGGACCATTTGACTTGGGAACCAAACACCTAACCGGTTAGTTGTTTGGTTCAGTTTTAAAAACCTTACTGCTGCCTTTGTCAACAAGAAAAAGAGATCCCTTCCACTTATTCATTAAATGCTCATTTGCTAGAGTCATTTGGTGTGAAGCGCAAGTAGACCTGAACCTAAAGATTTCCTCCAAAACCTATATTTGCATGGCATCCTCTTAGACTGGTTGTTATCATCAAAATAAACGAAGAATGCAACACAACTTAGCTTATTTCCTCTAGGAAGCAAAAAAACCAAAAAATCTTCGAAACTCTCATCCCAAGCCACGGAAGTGCTTCAAAAAGCCTTGTCATACTTTCCCAAGGGACCACCACAACACATTATGCCAGTACTACACCAATCACCATCACACATACCTATTCCAACACTCTACATCGATGGCTCTTCTCATCCAATCACAGGTAATGTCGGACGAGGGTTCATCCTCCAATTTCCCAATAGCAGCAGCACTGTCGTTGCAGATGGGAATCCATGTTGAAAATTTGAGCATTTTTAGTTGGACTCCGTAGTTAGGGGTGAGCAATCAGTTTATTTAATTTTAATCAAAATTTTTAAAATCGAAATTTGAAATATAAAACTAAATCTAAATCGAATTAATGAAAATTTGAAATAATAAAAACTAAAATTTTTTGTTCTGTTTTTGATTATTTTGATTAAAACTGAATTTATTTAATATATTAATATACATTAATGTGTTATTATATAAACTATAAAATATATATAATATTGTACGTTCTAATGTATAATATAATATATTATAGATATTCTATATGATATGTAACATATATATTAGTATATAATTAATCTATGTATATATTATAAATAACAAGTTTGGTTAATTCGGTTTTTTTAATTAACTGATTTCTTAATCCAAAAACTAATATCAAAACTTTCGGTTTGATTTTTCAGTTTTGTACATATTAATACACAAGCTAACAAACTGTCCCACCTTTTTGCTTATTTAATGAATATAATTGTGTTATTGATAAAAAATAATAGGAACCCTATTTAAATTAGTTTACAAGGAAAAAGAAATAAAACTTTTGGATCTTTTTTTGTTGTAGTAATCTAACTAAAGAAAGGAAAAAATAAAGACCGTTTTACTAACATTGGGGCTTTGGATGACCTTTCTTTGGTGGCAAATTCTGGGTTTTCAACAATATTAACATTAGTTGAACTGCTTTTCAAGTCTATCTATTCATGAATTTTTATGAGTTAGGTTTCAACTCAACTCAACTAAGGTTGTCCCAACTATATGGGGTTGGGCCAGTTGGTTACATGAACTAGATTTCAGATTTCTTAAATGTTTCAGATTGAGTTTTTCATGAACCAAATTTTAGGGCTCAGTTTGGAAGGAGTACAAATGCTTCATATTATGAGTTCATCATAAAAA